AATTTTTGTGTGAATATGTTTCAGTTCTCTTGGTAAATACCTATGAGTGGAATTGCTGGTTCATATGGTAAGTCTATCTTTAATTTTTTGAGAAACTGCCAGACCGGTTTTCAAAGCAGGTAAGCCATTATATTTCTCCAATAGTAGAGGAGAGTTCCAATTTTTCCACATCTTCACCAACATTTGGTATGGTCAGCCCTTTTTATTATAGCCATCCTTAGGGTGTGAAATGATTTCACACTGTGGTTTTGCTTTATATGTCCCTAATGCCTAAAGATGTTAATTTATTAGCTATTTATATATCTTCTTTGGAGATATACAAATGTCTATTCAGATTTTTTGCCTATGTTTTAATTGGGTTATTTGTATTTTTATTATTGGTTTTTAACAGTTCTTTATATAGTCTAGATATGCAAATCCCCCATTAGAAATATAATTTGCATTTTCCCCCACTTTGTGGATGTCTCTTCACTTTGTGTCCTTTTAATCACGAGTTTTCAATTTTGATAAAATCTAATATATCTATTTTTTTCTTTGGGTACTTATGCTTTTGTCATATCTAAATAAGCCACTGCCAAAGCCAAGGTTATGAAAATTTATCACTATGTTGTCTTCTAAGAGGTTTATAATTTTGGCTCACATTTAGGTCTTTGATTCATTTTGAGATGTTTTGCATATAGTATTAGCTAAATTTCCAAATTCATCATTTTAAATGTGGATATCCAGTTGTCTTAGCACTAAGTGTTAAATAAACTATCATTCTCCATTGAATGGTATTGGCACGCTTGTCAAAAAGCAGGTGACCACAGACACATGGGTTTGTTTTTGAATTCTCAATTCTACTCCATTGATCTTTATATTTATCTTTATGCATTACCACAGTAATCTTGATTACTGGTGCTTTGTACAAAGTTTTGAAATTGGCAAGTGTAAAGCCTATTATTGTTGCTCTTGTTCAAGACTGTTTTGACTGTTTTGGATCCCTTTAAAATACAATCATTTTCACGTATAAGTTTTATACTTCTTTTGCTAAATTTATTAGTATTTTATTATTTAATTCTACTGTAAATTGTTTTCATTTTCATATTGCTCATTGAAAGTATATAGAAATACAATTGATTTTTTATACATTGATATTGTATCTTACAACCTTGCTTAACTCATTTATTACTTCTAATAGTTTATTAGTGTATTCCTTAGGATTTTTTATATACAAGATCGTGTCATACGAATAGACAACAATAGTTGTACTTCTTCATTTCCAATATGGATGCCTTTCTTTCTTTTTCTTGCCTAACTGCCCTGGGTATTAGGGCCTCCAGCGCAATGCTGAAAAAAATGTGGAGAGACACACAGGATATGTTCCTTTCCTGATCTCAGATGTGGAAAGCATACAGTCTTTCACTATTAGTATGATGTTAGCTGTCAGTTTTTCGCAGATGCCCTTTATCAAGTTGAGGAAGTTCCATTCTATTTCCAAGCATTTTTAGTGTTTTTGTAATGAAATGGAATTGGGTTTTGTCAAATGCTTTTACTCTATCTACTGAGATGATCGTGTGGTTTTTATACTTCATTCTATTTTCATAGTGTATTCCATTAACTTATTTTCAGATGTTGAATAAACCTTGCATCCTTGGGAAAAATCCTACTTGGTCATGGACTATAATCGTATTTACATATTGCTGGATTTGATTTGCTAGTATTTTGTTAGGAATTTTTGCATCCATTTCATAAGAGACATTGGTCTATAACTTGCTTTTCTTATGATGTCTTTGTTTTCAGTATTAGGATTATACTAGCCTCATAGAATGATTTGGGAAGTAGTCTCTCTTCTATTTTTGGGGAAAGATTGTGAAGAATTGATATTATTATTGTAATGTTTCATTTGAAGACATCTGGGCCTGAGCTTTTCTACATGGGTTTTTGTTTTGTTTTTTCATTATTAATTCAATTTCTTGTCATAGATCTATTCAGATTATCTACTTCCTTTTTTTTTTTAAATGCCTAACAGCAGCTGGTATTCCTAGGTGGTCTCCCATCCAAGTACTAACCAGGCCCGACCCTGCTTAGCTTCCGAGATCTGACAAGATCTGGCACATTCAGGGTGGCACGGTCGTAGACTGTCTACTTCCTCTTGAATCAGTTTTAGTAGTTTGTGTCTTTGTAGGAATTTGTCCATTTCATCTAAGTTATCTAATTTACTGGCATATAACCATTCACAGTATTATTATTATTTTTATTATTATTATTTTAGGCGAGGCAAATCTTGGTTGAACTCACAGATTGCAAGCACCTTATCAGTTTACAATTCCTTATTTTTAATTTTTTACGCCTACAGCACCTAGTCTTCCTAGATGGTCTCCCATCCAAGTACTACCCAGGCCCGACCCTGCTTAGCTTCCGAGGTAAGACAAGATCAGGCTTGTTCAGGGTGACATGGCCGTAGACATCACAGTATTATTTTATAATCTCTTTTATTTGTCAGGTCAGTAGTAATGTTCTCTCTTTCATTTTTTCTGATTCTAGTAATTTGAGTCTTATCCCTTTTTTGCATAGTCAGTATAACTAAAGGTTTGCCCATTTTATTGATCTTTTCAAAGAGCAAGCTTTTGGTTTTACTGATTTTCTTTATTGCTTTCCTATTCCCTATTTTATTAATGTCTGCTCTAATCATTCTTATTTCTTTACTTCTGCATGCTTTATTTTGGTGTGTTCTTCTTTTTCCAGTGCCTTAAGATTGATTTGCAAGCTTTTTTCTTTTTTACTACAGGCACTTATAGCTAAGTATGCTTTAGCTGCATCCCATAAGTTTTGGTATGTTATATCTTCCTTTTCATTCATCTTAAAATATTTTTTAATTTCCTTTTTGATTTCTTCTTAGATCCACTGTTTAGATAAAGTCTGTTGTTTAATTTCCACATATTTATGGGTTTCCCAAATTTCTGTTATTTATTTCCAATTTCATTCCATTATAGTCAGAGAACATACTTTCTATTATTTCTATCAAAAGGGTGAATGTTATTATATGTGAATCATATCTCAAGGCACACTGTATGACAAAATCACATGCAAAATGGCAGCAAGCAATAGAAATAGCAACCGTGGGTGTAAACCATAGTCTTTTCTTACCTGAATCTGCAAAAGCTTATGACAGATCTGCTATTTCCAGATTTTTTTTTTACCTTATTATAAGCCTCTACAAATGGTGAAGAAACACACAAAAACCCTAAATGAGAAACTGGCAATGAACAAGAAAAGTTCATTCTTAAGAGAGGAAATATAAATGAAGAACAAATCTGAAGCCTCACTAGTAATCTTTTAAATAGGAAATTTGAAAAAAATGAAACACCATTCTCCTCCTACCATATTAACAGGTTTATCTCTAATTTTTAAACACTGACATCTGATGCTAGACTGATACAGTGAAATTAGGTACTCTCATATACTGCTGGTGGGCATATAGACTGGAATACTTTGGAAACTAACTTGGCAAAAAGTATCAAGAGCCTTAAAAAAATTCTAAATGCTTTTAACTAGTTTTTCTACTTGTGACAATTTATGTTTAGGAAATAATTCTAAATACAGAAAATATTTGAGACTAATAATATTTATTACAGTATTATTTACAATTTAAAAGTGTAAGTATAAATTTCAAATAACAGGAGAATAGTTAAGTAAACTATAGTTTAATTATTGTATAAAATAATTATTAAAATGCATCCATTAAAAATGTTTACAAAACATTTACAACAAAAAGAAAATACTTGTTATGTTAGTAAAAAAGAAAAAACTGTATATAGAATACAATTACAGCTATGCGTTTTGAAAAACTGCAAACAACCTATATAGGAGAAAATCAGAAAGGAATAAATCAAAAAATTAATAATGGTTATCTTTGGGTAGTGAATTATGAGTATATTTTTTTCTTTACGCTTTTCATTATCTTTCCAAAGTTTCTATGAGTATAAATTTTTATAATAAAAGGTTTATTTCGATCAAATTTAAGAAACTGCCACTTCCAAGCATGACAATCCACTTAGTACAATTACAATGCCTCTCTTACAAGTACAACCTCACAGATATATATATATTCACATGAGAGACAAATTCCCTCAAACACACAATCCTTAGCTTTTTCCATTTAGTCTCTTAATATTATACTCTGTCAAAGTGTTTTATGTTTGTTTGTTGTTGTCACTGTTGTTTATTACGATAACTGGAACACTCCTGGGGCTCAGAAATAGCATTCTAATTCTAGGAATATAATACTCTTCTACAATTTAAATATACTTGTCTTCTTATAACCTCAAAATCAATTTATCATAAAGATTAAAGGCAATTCTACAAGGTTTAGAAGCTGCTGTTATGTACAACAAAAGGCAGCTAATTAAAAGTTCCATAATAAATCAAAAGGCACAACTAGTGTGCATGTATTTTTTATAATCAGAAAAAATTTAAAAAATTTTCCCAAACACTTGTTTGTGTCTAGCTGGTCTGTTTATTAAGGCAACAACGCATAAGAAAAAGAACATAGGCTTTGGAGTCAGAGAAACTAGAGTTTACACCCTGGTTCTGCAAGTTCCTAGCTGTGAAAATTTGGACAAATGAAACTCTCTCAATCTCAACTCCTACCTTGGTAAACAGGGATAACAGTACTTACCTAAAGGACTGCAAGGAACAAATAAAAAACCGGATGTAAGGTATCATAATAGGCAAAGTGCTTATATTAGGCACAGTTTACATGTAGCTACTATAATTATTTCTATTTCTTTTGGGAGGCTGAGGAAGTTCATTTTATAACAAATTACTCAACTTTATTCCTAATCCAACATTAAGAAACAAAATGAGACAGTTCTTAAAACCATTAAGAATCCTTAGCAATTCTCAGTTACAGAGTTACGATGTAGATCTAAGCAGATCTTACAGCTCATACAACCTCTCCTGATAACACAAAACTATTCAAGAAAGAAGCAACCCATGTCTAACCATTATACTCTTACCTTGCAAGCTACATCAACTAATCGCATCTGGATAGCTTGATTCTCTGGGAGTTTAGTGCCTATTGCAAGCAAAGTGTCCAACAGTTGAGCTAGGACTTGATGAGACTCTAGAAAGGAAGGTGGAAAGTTGTGTTACAGAATTTCAAAAGGAGATCACTACAGACACTAAATTTACTTGAGTAAATTAAAGAATGTAGATTTTTGTCAGCTAAGTCCTACTATTTGATCCTTGATTCCCCTTAACTAAAAGTTAACTTCCTAAAGGGATCATATTTCACCCTTTTCCCCATTTAGAAAAAAAAAGTGCAGCTTGCTGCCAGCATTCATTTAACATCACATGTAGGAATACTACATTTTCTAGGTTTGACATTTTCACCGCTCGAGAATTACAATATTTTGTAAATGGAAATACGACAACAGAATGCTATAACTAGAATGATGTCATTTGTTGCCAAAGACTATCGATATACTAGAGCAATGCAAAAATAATAATAATAAAAGCAATATATTTCATGGCAAATTTGGGGGGTAAGGTTGGGATTGTAATCCGTGAATTATCTCGGGATAAACACTGCAGCTGCAAGCGCCCCCTACAAGTATTCTCAGGGAAAATGGGGAAAAGGCTAAAAATTTAAGTCGTCCACAGGTTGGCCAGTGCTCCAGAAATGTTTAGTACTTGACAAATTCAAGGGGTTTTGGTTGCCGTCAAGATAAAGTCCAAATTCTTTCACAGGGCATATATACATACATACCATTCCCTCCATGACATCTAGCTCCGCCTACCTTTCTAGCCTCATCTCTTTCAAGTCTCCTCCAGCATCCGTTTTCCCAATTACTTATGATTGCATGTCACCCTTTCTTTGCTCAGGCCAACTTCCCTATCTAGAATGCATTCACCCACACCTGACTCCATTCTCAACCCAACTCCCCAGGGAGAAACTACTAATCTTGAAGTGTCACTTCCTGTATGAAGCTTTTCCTCCTTCCCTAAGAATTGACCATTTCCTCCTTTGTGTTTCTACTGAACTCTCTGCATCAGCTACACCACTTTACTACTTATTTTTGTACCTAATCAAAACAGGAAATTGAAAGATTCTTGAGAGCAAAGACTGTGTTTTATTCACCTGTGTTACTCTCAGAATCTAGCATGACTCATTATATGTTCAACGAATATTTAATAAATGAGCTAACAGCCAAATCCAAATATATCAATATCAATCATCCTAGCCAGATTTTCTTATTTGTCTAAATTCTCTTCTTTGTTCCAAAATATGGTTCTTGTAACACTAGTGGTATACAAGATTTTAGGTGGCATTCAGATAATCATTTGTATATTATTAACCATGTATATATTTTAATGAATATAATAAAAATTGCAGTTACTATTTGTTGATGTCACATGACACATTTCTTTTTAACACTACTAATATAAAAAACCTAGAAACAACTTCATATTAAAATTGTGTTTGTATTAAATTTTGACCCAAGACTTTTAATTCACAGGAAAGAATGAAAGTATTTTTTTAAAAAATGTTTTGAGAGGATTGTCTGTTTTATTATAATGCCAATATAATCACATTAAAGAAAAATATTTTAAAATTCCGACTACTACTATATGTTTTGCATATTACCTTTTATATACCTTTTATATGGTTGTACTTATAATGAATGTATTATTTTGCGTTCTCACTTAACATTATGAATAATTTTTTCCATGTCTCTACATTATTTTCAGAATCTTTATAGTACCAATAATATTTTAAAAACTAAAAGGTACAGTAGCATGTTTCTAATTTTTTGCTTTTGTAAGTAGTGGCAAAAAAAAAAAACCCATTTTTTTTTTAAAGCACCAAAACAATTACATTGCATCAGTACAGAAGTATCCTTTTTTCCCATGGAAAGTTCTTAAAGGAGCTAGCTATATACATGGAAGAATTTCATACTTTAAGATTGAGAATTTTAAAGAGCCATAGACTTTTTTAGTTATAAATGGCCTTATAGAGATCATCTTGTTTAAATCTTTCATTTTGCAGATGATAGAAACTAAGTTCCATAAAGAGAGTTTAAGTGAGTTAAGTAGTAGATGAACTGAAACACTTTATCTCCAAAATAGAAACATTATGAAAGAGTTAATTTGTTGCATACATCATCCTAACCTTTAAAAGAGACTCAAATTAATCTAGTAGTATACCTAGAAATAGCTATTTTACTTTTCATTAAGTATTCTAATTCTGTCTCTTTTTAAATTTTCTCTAAGAGATTTGATCTGGGATTCTTCCCAGTTTCCAGTTCCTGCCCTGCCTAGGTTCATAGAAGATAGAACTGAAAAGGACCACAGAGAACATGTAGTTCAAGCCCTTTATTTCATAGCTGAGGAGCATAAACTCCAGAGATAAAGTGCTAAAGTGATTCTGTAGTATTTGTGGCTTACAATTAAGCCACAGACTTAGAATTAAGAGTCTCCTGGTGATTAGTCTAGTATGTACAGAGACAATTACATCTATCTTATATCATACATAAACTATCTTAAGTAAATGGCATGTGGTAGAGGTCAATAAATGATATAGCTATTGAGACAAAACTATATTTTAACTCTAATGTAAACATATGTACATAATTTTATTGAATCATCCTCAAATTCTTTTTCAATACCAGCAAAACAAAATTTTGTTTTAAATTCTATATAAAAGGAACTAAAGGTTTCTGCTCTGATTATATAGCTTTTAAATCGCAACTTACTTTCATTCTGCAGGATGTTAATGGCATCATCCATAATACAGTCTGGTGAAAATCCTGCAGTCTTTGACAATAAACCCAATAACGATGCAATTTTCAGTCTCACAGATGGATCATTCTCCTAGAACAAAAGAAGCTATTGTTACCTTGATATGCTACTCTCAGCTAACCAACAAACAGGAACTAACATCTCAAAAGAGATTCAATGATCCAAGTATTCTAAGGCTTTATTTCTGAAAAATTAACTTTATATAGTTCAGGGGAGAGAGCTTTTTCAGTCAGTATGTTACACCCAAATACTGCAAAGTGAATGGGAATTTTTTTTTTATGCCTTCCTGATGTCATTAACTTCTAAGTAGAAATGTGCTTTGGGGGCTAAAAGTACTTTTCCTCCACTGTGTAGTCACGTTAAACATGAAGTGCAGCAACTTGGACTAAACACTGCCAGCACTAACCACCCGATGCTGTTGCCAGCACCACTATTCTTAGAGCTCCTGGAAATTGGGTGCTGCAGAAAAAAAATCTCACTCTACCTGTTTTTTGGATCACCAGATCTTGATTAGAAGTCGGGGGCATGTGAGCCTAATTAGCTGGGACTAGGTCTTGTACCTGGGCTCCAGGTGCAAGGCAGACTAAGAAACGAGTGTTTGGCCCTTTTAGCTTCAATATTGGTAGGTGGTCTCTAATTTGCACCAAAATTCCTATGGTGAGAAATTTCCCCCAATGATGAAAAGGACCATATCCTTTTGTTCATCACCATTTTTCAAGTATGTAGCACAATATCCTAAGTTTCTAATGAGGTAACTGCTCACAACAAGGAGGCCTCAGGTGGGGGAAGGAGCAATAGACACGGAGTCAAAAGACCTAGAATCCTGGCAGACCACTTAACATGTATATACAACCTTGGGAATGTCATTTTCTTGGGCATAACCTTACGCTGTGGGGTGTAGCAGAAGGAAATCTGGCTTTGAAAGTAGCCAGATCTAGGTACGAAGCCCAGACTCCCTACGCAACAGTTATATGTCTTGAAAGGCTAATTAACTTTTCTAAGTCTCATGTGTGAAATGGGACTAATAACCTTAGGGGGCCACTGAGAGGACAAAAGCTAGCACTGAAATGGGCACATAGAGAACAGTCAAATATCAGTGTCCTTCTTTCTTCCTCTCTGATCATCAATCTTTTCACGTGGAGGGTAATATGGTACTTCTGTGAGTACCATATTCACCAAACTGTGAATATGGTACTCACAAAAGTACCATAAAGAGCAAATTAAAAACACATCAAATATAAGGATGCAATCACCAAGCCCAGAATAAATGCCCTGTTTTTTACACAATAAATTGCATGGGAAAGAAAAAGGGTGGTGGTGGTGGGGATTATTGCAGATTGAAAAAGATGTAAAAGGACAGACAAATCAACCAAAAGCAATATGTGAATCCTACTTCAAACAAATCAACTTTAAAAAGATTTCTTTAAGATAATCAGTGAAAACTGAACATCAACTAGATATTAGCTACTATTAAAGCATTATTGTTACATGCGATTTAAGTCCTAAAATAAGTCTTATCTGTTAAATCTATATAATTAAGTATCTATAGGTGAAATCATATGCTGCCCGGGATTTACCCACTCCCCAAAAAAGTGGGGGAATGCATTCAATAAGAATGGCAAAATGTTGATAATTGTTTAATCTGAATGAGGAACACCTGAAGGCTCATATTATTTTCTCTCTTTTTGTGTATGTTTGTAAATTTACAAAATAAAAAGTTAGCTTTTTGGAAAAAAAATCACATGAAAGTGCTTTGTTCTATGTAAAAATGCAAAGTAATTTATTCATTCAACAAACATACAAGGAGTACCTACTATGTGCCAGGCATTGTTCTAAGTGCTGAGAATATAATGATGAATAAAACGGATGTAATTCATGCTCTAATAGAGCTTAAATTCATATGGATAGGACTGGCAAAAGAAAATACATTTCAGGTGGTAAGCATTCTGAAGGAAAATAAAGTGTATAAGGGGTTATGTATAAGGGAAGGCTATTATAGACAGGACATGAGGATATGAGTTTTGAATGGACACTTAATTAAGTGAGACAGGAGAGCCATAAGAAGGTTTAGGGAAGCAGCATTCCAGGCAGAAGAAAACTGCAAACCCAGAATATAGGAACTTGCAAAATGTTACATTTAAAACTGTAGAAGAATACATACAAAACTTAGTGGTGACTCTCTCCAGAATAACCTCTGAAGAGTGTATTTTGTTTTCTTAACCTTTTTTCTTACAGAGGCAAATCTCACTCTTTATTTTATAAATAATTGCTTGAATCTGTTACAATAAATGTTACTGTTGTGATTTTTAAAAGACTAAATTTAAAACTCTATACATAACCCTTCAAAAGCTTCCAGTTTCCTTCAGAAAGAAGTCTGAGCTACTGAACATGCCATGAAGGCCTGCCTAGACTGGCCGCTATGTCACCTCCCACAATTCCCTACCAGTGATGCCACGCTGCTTCAAGAGTCTGTACTTCTGCTCAGATTGTTCCTCTGCCTAGACTGCACTCCCTATCTCCCACACCTACCCTGTCCTGCCCCTCAGGTGTCAGCAATCCCAGGAAGTTGCCTCTGATCCCTGAACTGAACTTGGATGCCCTTCCTCTTGGAGCACTACAGCACATTGGTGTGACTCTTTATTGTGATTACGTCCGTTTCCTCAACCAGACTATAAGCCACTAAAGTGACCAGCAAAATACCCGGGAAGCATTCTGTAAATTTTGATAAAAATAAAGGGCAGACTACAGGAAAAGGAAAAGTCAGGTGTCCTTAATTCATTCAGCAAATAATTCACCTATTCATCTGTTTAACAAGGATTTCCTCTGCACTTACCAGGAGCCGCTATGCTAGACCATGGTGATACACTGCCCTCATGGATAAAGTTTAATGGGCAAGGTAGATATTTATCAAGCAATGTCCAAATAAATAATTATAAAGTTGTATTGTAAACTACAGAGTTCTATAAAAGCATATAACATATCACATACAGACTTTAACTCCGTTTTTATGTTCGAAGAGATTCTGATCTAATTTGAGACAGAGGGAAGAAAAAAAATGAATAAATGCCCCGAGTCATGAAAGAATATCACATCTCCCAGAACTGAAAAAAAAAGGGCAATGTGGCTAAAATGTAGATTGATATGAAATGAGGCTAAAGAGAAAAGCAGGTGCCACATCTTTGTGAGAATTATGGCAAGGGCCTCTGATAGTACCTAGCATGTAGCAGGAGTTCAAAACATACTTGTGCATTATTAAATAAATAAAAGAATAATTTTTGTCCTAAGAGGAATAAAAATCCTTTGAAGAATTATAAACAGAAGAATGACATAAACAGATTTGAGTTTTTGAAATACCAATCCAGACTCAATATAATGATTGAATTGGAAGGGGCAAAAGTAGAGAGAAATATTAAGAGTATATTGCAATAGTCCAAGAAAGGATAACGACGAGCCTATCACTTCTGCTCTTTATGTTCAAAGAGATAAAAGACAAAATTGAGAATTTCACCAGACAACCAGAACTTTAAAAAAAAAGAAATTACAAAAATGATAAAAAACAATAAATGAAATAAGAACCAATGGACAGGTTTAACATCAGCTTAGATAAGGTGAGAGAACTGGTGAACTAAAAGGTCCAGAACGAAGCACAGGAGATAAAAGAATGAAAAATCAGAAGAGAAGGTAATAAAATAAAATGAGACGGTTTATCATATATGCAATTGGAATCCTCAAAGGAGGGTGAGATAACACAAAGCAAAATTTGAAGAAATAGCCAAGAACCTCTCTGATGGAAAGTACACGCAGATAATAATACAAGCACTATGAACCCCAAATAAGATAAATGAAAAGAAATCCACATATTGGCATATGACAGAAAAAGTACTGACAACAGACCAACTAGAAAGTCCTAAAAGCAACCAAAGAAAAAGACACATTACCCCTCAAAGGGATCAGTAAGACTAAGATCTGACTTCTCAATAGAAATAATGGAAGGGAAAAAGCAATACAATTATATATGTAAAGTATTAAAAGAAAATAACAGCCAATCTAAAATTCTACACACAGTAAAAACACCCTTTAAGAATGGAGATAAAATAAAACTTTTCTATACAAACACAAAGAATTCGTCATCAGTAAACTCACAATAAAAGGAAATATCAGAGAGTATGCTTCAGCCAAAAGGAAAATCATCCCAGATAAACAGTTACAGGTGCAAGAAGGAAAGAAAAGCAATGATAAATACATATCGGTAATGATAAATATGTAGGTAAATCTAAATGAATATTGTCTGTATAAGAATAACAATGTCTTCTAAAGCAAAAAATGATAAATAAAAGTATCAGTTACACTCACATGTAACTCAGGAAGGTGGATAAATATAATTAAGGTCCTTTCATTGTCCAAAACGATAAAAGTACCATTTAACATTTGACATTCAAGGAAGGGGGCTAGGAAGTGTTGGGGTGGGATAGGCAGTTTCAATTTCAAATAAAGGGATAAGGGAAGGCCTTAATGAAAAAGTGACATTTGAGTAAAGACTTGAATAAAGTGTGAGTAACAGACATATGAATGTCTGAGGGAAGTGTTCCAGGCAGAAGGATACATAAGTGGAAAGACTCCAAAGAAGAAATATGCTTAGCAGAGAAAATGGCAGAGCAAATCAGAGAGCAGTGGCAGGGAGAAAGGTTCTAAGCTGAGAGAACAGCATATGAAAAGATACTGATTTCTAAAAACACTAAGGTTTTTGCAAAACTGCAAGCATTTTGATTAAGCTAGAACATTATATACGTAAAGAAAAGAAACTTTTATGTCATACATAAAAGATTTAAAGGTCGTTTATGGAAAGAGAGACTGAAAGAAAAAAGATAGGAAGCTTTTGCATTGAATGCATCCCAACACATATGATATGAAGTACAAATTATCTATAAAGTATTCTTAAAATTCTCAAAAATATGCTAAACCTGAATCTAACAAATAGAACTAACTTATAGTTCATAGTAAATACAGGGGATAAAGGAGCAAGTTAACTCCCAAGGAAGTAAATTCAGAAAACGACATTTTACAAAACAACTAACTGAGTTTAACAGGTCAATGTCACCAACATAAAACAAATTATTCTAGATTTTAAAAAGAGCAAATTCCATGTGTGGACATTGTTTGCATTTTGATTTGAACAAACAGTTGGGAACAACTAGAGAAATTTGAACATAGACTAATTATTAGATGACATTAAGGAATTAGTTTTATTTGATGTGGTTTGGTGGTTATTTTTTTTTTTTTTAAATATCCCTTTTTTAGACAGATTTACTGACTAGGGAAAAATATCATGACACTTTAAAAACTTCAGGAAAACCAATAGAGGAAGCAAATTTGGCAAAATATATATATTTTTAATTCTCCTCCCCCCGCACTTCCACTCTTGACCTACGGATGTTGCCATCTCTCCCTTAAGAACTGGATCTCTGAAGGCAGGGCATCTCCTCCCATGTGCTTACAACACAAATCCAGAGGGCCTGGCACACCTGGAGTATGGGCTGTGACTCCGCTGGGGCTTTAACCCAAGACCTTCTGTGTGTAAAGCAGACGTATTAACCACTACTCTATGGAACCACCCTAAATCTGGCAACATATTAATAACTGTTTAATCCCAGAGATGGGTTTTTGGCAGTTCATTATAGTACTGTCTCTACTTTCCTAAAAACTTAATAATTTTTATACTAAAATTTACAATTTTAATTCATCTGTGATTCAAATATTTGAAAATCATTTATTTTTTCACTTCAGATATCATTTGTATATAAAAACTGAAAAATGAACACATTTTGTGAATTTTATTTTCTGTTTAAACTATTTCCTGTATTGAATCATGCATGTTTTTTCTAACCCATTAAAATACATGGCGAAATAAAATGTCACTTAGCTATAAAAAAATGGGCTATTGCAATTAAACATTAGAGTCTTGAATTCGGGCAGTAACAACAAGATGACAGGACTACATTCCAGAGGTAATCTCGTTAAAGGGTCTCCTCGGATGTAGTTAACTCCTCCTTTTTGCTTCTACTGCACTCTGTACATATTGCAGTCACAGTATCTTCAGCAACACAATGCACTTTATCATGCATATCTATCTTCATCTAGAAAGTGTAAGCTTCTGAGGACAGGATTTGGATCTTTTCTTTTTATCTTCGTATCTACAGTCCCTAGCATACAGAAGACATTCAGTAAGGCTGAATGAACACCTTATTTATTTTGCAGACATGACACAACTCTTATACATACTCCCACCAGGTCCTCAAGACCTTCTTACCTTGTAATAATGTTCCAAGAGAATCCTGACTACCCCCTCCACACTTTCTGCCTCAACAGGCTTCCTGGCAAACTGAAGTAGGTACTGCAAAGCATCTGCTGGGGAGGTAGCTTTACACAAATCTATGTGGAGTGCTGCAGATTTACTTGGTTTTGTCAGTCGGAGTTTCTTAGTAGCAATTTCCTCCTGTTGTTGCTGCAAGGGGATAAGAAAGGTAAGACATGAAAACCTAACTGAAAACAGAGTCTGAAAACTTAATTTCACTTCATTTGATGGAAGTAATTTTCCTTTATAGCAAATCATGTATTTAGGTAACAGAGCTAGCCTTAGGAAAAAGCAGTGCTATCAAATGGTAAAAGCACTGAACTGGAGACAAGGCTATGAGTCCCAATTTTGCTTTTCACTAGCTATGACTTTGGGCAAGTCATTTAATTTCTCCAGGTCTCAGTTTCTTTCTTTGTAAAGTAGGTCCACTAACATTTTGTTCCGCCTATTTCTTAGGATTGTTGTAGCTTTAGAATTAAGAAAACACAAATACAAAGGATCTGCTCCATTCTTCATAGAAATCTGAATTCTACAAATATATTCAGGCTGTGCTAAGGCACTCACCAGGCAAGGTTCATCTAAAAGGGAACTTGTCGCTTAAGGCAGCCCCTGATGGGTAAGTATAGAGAGGATCATTAACATAAATGTTGTAGTCGATAATTTCCCTTGCACCCTGACACGTCATTTTGATATCCTAAGCAATCATCACTCTACAAATTTACACTCCTACAGAGATTAGGATTATTAGGAACACAGTATGGCATGATACAAAGACTGGGGGCTTTGAAGTCAGGAATTTGGGTTCAATAACCACTTACCCATTTCCATCCTATTCTACACACTCAGTCTTCAGTGTTATCATGGCTACAGTTAGGTCAAAAGCTGGGAAAAAAATTTTTTTCCCTAAAGAGTATGTAAAGGGGAGGAGAAACCAATATCTGCAATCGATCAACCATCAATAACATTTTAGAGAGCTGGTCCCTATGATCTCTCCAGGGGATGCGGAGATAAACCAAGTATTATCTCTGCCCTCAAAGAGCCCAGACTAGTGGGAAGATATGTATACTGGTAATTACAGTAGTACTGAGTAGTAAGTACAAACAGATGAGTACAACAGAGTACCGTAGAAGTAAGGGAGGAAGAGTCTAAACTCTTGCTGAGGTTTCAGTTAGTCTCAAAACAAAAATATAAGTCTACTGGGTAGAGAAGAAAAAGAAAGGGAGGAATGACAACCATTTTATGTAAAAGAGACATAGATAAAAAAAGTTTGGAGAGGTACAAACACATGGCATGCTGGAGGAGGGGTGAGTAGTCTTGAGAACTGGGCATGATGTTGGAGAAAAAAAGTGACACTGCACAACAATGTCAATGTACTTAACACCACTGAACTGGTTAAAAATGGTTAGAACGGTAAATTTTGTTATATATATCTTACCACAATTAAAAAAAAGTGGGCAAGGGAAACAGAGCCAGAAAATCCCAGAAAGCAAGCCATAGAGGATGGAGCTCTATAAATTAAGAAAAGTTTCCTGAATCTTGACTCAATCTAAAAATTCAGGAAAACTAATTTCACATAAAAAGGAGCAACAAAAAGTGTCGAAGTTAAATCTTAAAGTTATTTTAAGAAAAAAAACAATAAGGAGCAAACTAACTTCCCTAGAAAATGGGAATTTGCTACAAAAATGTGTCCTTTAAACAAAAAGAAAGTGATACAGCTGGAAGGAATACTGTCAAATTATGAAGGGTTAAGGAGTTTGGCTGAGGAGTTTTTACGAAGAGGAGTTGCAAAAGAGGAAAGCTTGATTTATCAATGTAATTATCTCTCTGTACTATAAATCATATATATGCTGTTCTCTGTCCACTAGACTATGAGCTCTTCAAGGAGAGGGATCCTAATTGGACTTTGTAGCTCAACACCTTTCACTATACCTGATGCATAGTAACCACTCATTTGCTCAATAAACTCTTGTTGAAGGAACGAATGAAATGTTTAAGGATCCGTTTCCTTATTAGTTTACTTGACAGCTAGATGGTCTGTATTGCTACTCTACAAGAGGAAGGATCTAAGGGTGGCCTATGGCTCTACAGATGCTGCTGATCTCCTGGTATCAACTGGAGGCTTGTCAGAAATGCAGATTATCGCCTCACCTCCCACGCCAGACATACTCAGTAGAATCTACAGTTCACTGATCCCCAGGAGATTTGTAGACATAAAGGTCTGAGAAACACACCTGGGGAGACTTAGGATCAACCTCTACCGTCATCTACAAGGAGGCACATGGAGAATCACTGCTCCAACGCGGGCTTGACCCACTGGTTCTGAACTCCAATGGAGGAAGGTATTCCCTCCTTCTTAGGTGAGCTCCACCAATGGAGAATTCTATCCCTATGAAGCCTGTGATCCTCGCCCGTTTTCACTGGTCCTTAAGGATTTCTACTGACTTCTCTTCCAAACCCTGAGACTTCTGAATACAGCTAACTTGTCCCTGGGCGCTTTTTAAAAAAAAAAAACGAGTTGAGAGGGGCTCTGCCACTAATTAGCTGTGTCCTCGTAAGCCTCCAGAAGCTTCTAAGCCCACATCTGTAAAATAAGAATGCTAATGTAACCCCAATAAGATGACGAGTGTTTCCGTAAACTGCAAAGCGCTTTTTGTTTCTTCTAATAGTTAAAAAAAAAAAAAAAAAAAGGCGCGTCAGACTGCACATCTTAAGCATAACAACAGTAGCGGCAAACGAACACGCCCACTAAAGTGTAGTCTCAGAAAACCTATCAAAATAGTCGGCGCTCATCCCAAGTTTGTGGTGCCTGTCATGACAAAGTGCCTGGGGCGTGGATAACATTCTCCTGCCCTAGACCGGTCCCGCGACCTTTTCTTCCGGAGCTTACCTGAACCACCTTAGTGAATTCTTCGTACACCCGCTTCTTTAGGTGCGCCGCCATGGTTGCCCTCGGACCCTCTCAGCTCCCGTACTTGACGAGGGAGGCGGGGTGAAGATATCCGGAAAACCTGTCTGGACCGGAATAACCGGCCACGGTCCCACAAGGCACTGCGATTCTGGGAAAGAAAGGCCGCTTCCGGCTGCTCTATTGCCCTGCCGCGGTTCGGCTGGATCCCGCAGCCTAACCCTAGACCACCAGGGGAACGGAACCAAGATCGTAGCGCGGAGGGGGTGGGGCCTCTGGCAGAGGAGACGGGACTCAAAGCCGGGGCGAGCCAAAAGGAGCTTTCAGGGCCTTACTGGTGGTCTCAGAGGGGCCGAGAGACTGACGCAGAAGGAAGCGTAAGGGAGGTAGGAAGTACAAGGTTAAGGGCAGAGGCCAGGCGAGCCACAGCCACGGACGAACTCCGAGCTGCGTAACCACCTTGACTCCCAGACAACGGAAAGAGGCCGAGCTGGCGTTCCCATCGTCCTTTGCTGTTCACACCGTTTGCAGCTTGTAACTTGCCTGAGTTTTCCTTTTGGTCAATGGGTGCTCCACCCCTCTCTTGGGGTGCTTTTTCCTGCCCCCTCACGCCAGTTCAATCGCTACCCGTGGTTTAGCAGGGGTTCCTAACCTCCCGGCCACAGACCAATACAGGTCTGCGACCTGTGTAGAGCACGGTCGCACAGCAGGAGGTGAGCGGGCTTTCTCCAGCGCTACTCAGCTCCACCTCAGATTATTAGGCAGTAGATTCTCATAGGAGCACCGGTCCCTGGTGCCAGAAATGTTGAGAACCGCTGCTGTAAGGAATCTCTGATAGCTATGGTAGAGTGGAAAGAACCCTAAAGCCAAGGGTCAAGCAAGGAAGCTTCCGACTACAGCTGGCGCTTAATGAACAAGTAGATTCAACCACAAGTGGGCAGGTAACAACAAAAACAAAGCAACAGAAGGAAAATTGAGAAACAGGCCAGACTGGTATAGAAACTAGAATACCCCCCATTCTCTAACCTTTTTGTCATATTTGTGGTATTTTAAGATTTATTTTCTCAAATCATATTCTTTAATTTCGAAACGAAAAGTATTGAAGGCATTTTGTTTTGACTTTCATTATTGCGTGTGAAAATACAATGAGGTGCCCTACTGAATCCCTTGGGCTTCAAATAATTTTCCCTGTCCCTGTTGTATAACAACACTCAATTTCCCCTTGGAAATTGGAGTCGGTCACTCAGACTGGTATAGTAACCCCTTCTCTACCTGTTGGCTCAGCAAGAAGAGCCAAAAATGACCGGGGCAGTCTCATTACATATTCCAATGTAATAAAACAGTGACTGTGTTCTTTAGTGGGACTGTTCCTCCGTTGGGGACCAAGTCTCCTAACCCACTGAACTTAAGAATCCATAAAAGTGACAAAAGACACTCCTACCTCCACCCTTGAATTCCCAGACCCATGTATTCTGAGAGAAACTATTATATTTTAACTGCTGGTATAAGGCATATACCACAAACTCAGCACCTTAAACTCACAACGTGTTGTTTCTCTGCTGACACCGTAACTGCGTTTGCAAAAGGTCATTACATTGTTTTTATCATGGCAACTACATCTGAGTGATGGGGTACCTGGAAAGACCACAAAGTTTCTTTGCTAAAATTTTTTCACCATGGAATAAGCTCCTTTGAAGCAATGTGTGAAATACCATGAAAACGAATAAAGTATCCATGAATGGTAGGGCTGGCAGAAACATTATAGTTAGGTTTATTAGGATTCTCCAGGAATATATATACAAAGAGATATTAGGGTACTATAACAATATCATAGAGTGGCTTATAAACAAATTTATTTCTCAGTCCTGGAGGCTAGGAAGTCCAAGATCAAGGTGCAAGCAGATTCAGTATCTTGTGAGAGTTCACTTCCTGGTCCATAGCTGTCTTCTCACATGAGAGAAGAGGCAAAGAAGCTCTCGGGTGTCTTTTCATAAGGGCACTAATTCCACTCATAAGGACTCTATGCTTATGACCTAATCACCTCCCAAAGGCCTTACCTCCTAATACTACCACATTGAGGGTTAGGATTTCAACATATGAATTGTGGGCAGGGGTGACACAAACACTATCTATAGTAATAGGAAAGTCAAATCTGAATCTGTATTTCTGTGAAAATAAATAATCACCACACCCTTCCTGATGGGAAGGGTCCAGTGTGTGGTAGAATTATTGCAAAAATTGCCCTAATTCTCTCCCTCTGTGTGTGTATACCCATTGAAATGCAGCTTTGAAACTGCTTCCATTAAGAGAGAGAATTTATATCCTTTGAATTGGGCTGGCCTTATGCCTGCCGGTAGAATGTAATAAAAGTTACAGTGTGCTAGTTTTGAGCCTAAGCCTCAAGGTTCATCCACTTACCACTTCCCCAGGGCTTTTGCTTGATTTTAGAACCTTACCATTGCCATGAGAATTAAGTACCACCTAGCCTGCTGGAGAGAGAGTGACCACATGGGACAGAGCCAAGTTAATCCAGCTGAGGCCATCTTAGCCTCACTCCAGCTGATCCACCATCTGACTACAGCTGCATGAGTGAGCCCAACTAAGACCAGAAGAACTGCCCAATTTGTAGGCTTATGTGAAATAATTAATGGTTCTAGTCTTAAGGCATTAAGTTTGGGGGTCAGGGTTTGTCATGTGGTCAGACAGACCCTAAATTGCTAAATTGACTTGCCACACTTCCATAGTTTCAGCTAGTAAGGAGACAACAAGCCCAAATTGATTTAGACAGTTTATTATTCACAGTACAGCAGGTGTCATAAACTTCATGTTTGTATCACTTCTGCTTGCCCAACAAGCTCCATAGGGGTGATGTAGGTGAATAACATGCACACAATAGATCTGTAACATGGATGAAGAATACTGAGCTTAGGGAACTCTGAATCTTAAAAGATGAATGTTGGCAAACCTGCCCTTGGAAAGAGGCTTTATTATACTGGTCAGGAAACAAGTCTGCCTTCCAACCCAGTGAGAGACATTTTTTTATCATCCTGAATTATCTTCAAGATTGGAGAGTGATATTAGCTTTATTAAACTGTGATGTAAGTAAATCTGCTCCCTACCCCTAAGCAGCACTGCAAACATCCTCAAACAAAGCCATCAGTTCCATTTGCTTAGAAACACCAGCATCTCTTCCAACAGTTTGTTACAGAGCAGTATAACTAATATTTACAGTGCAATCAACCTAGCATCAAGAAGTGTCTTGATGGTAGCCCACCCCCACTCCCAGGGAAAAATATATCGGGGGCTCAGTGTTGGTCTCTGTTGTTGGACATCTATCAGTTGTCTGATCAGTTTTGGTGTGAGGAAGACTTTACTATAAAGCTAATGCATTACCTCCATCTCTGCCACCATGGCTACCTTTTTCATGACGCCACTGAGTAAACGCAGGAGCTGGGGAAAGAGGCCAACTGATTATCTACAGGTTGGATCACTGTGTCCATTTTTTTTTTTTTTTGAGCCTCCTCTAGAATGGATGCCCTCTGAAGAGCATTCATAGGAAACCTATATTTCCACCATTCCAAGAGGTCCAACTACACACCAACTCCCTAGGCCTTCTTGTCACCAATCTTCACTAGGTACTTTCTAAGTCTTTGGACAACCAGGAAGGGACCTGGCATGTAATACCTAGGGAATCAGACTTCCAGGATACTGAGCACAGCAGAAAAGGGAAGGGAATGGATGAAGAAGGGGATGGGAGAAGATGAGGAAAATAAGTAAAGAATTAAAAACAAAAAAGAGTTACTCTAGGAGAACAATGTAGACCTGAAAACCTGGCACAGTGCTATGGATGAGAATGTCTTCATGAGGGCAATCTCAAAGATTTTACTCTTTCTTTGTGTTTTTCCTTTGGATTATGAGTTATATTTAGCATTCGGTTTTAAGTTTTCTTCTTCTGACTTTATAATTTTCTTTAGTCAATGCCAACAAATCTGAAAAGTCTCATATACTCCTATAAATGAACATAGATAGTATTTTAAACTTTATTAATGTGCCTCACTATTTTGCTTTTTCTATTAGAAAACAGGAAGGGAGGAGATGGTATTGTTGGGTAGACAAACAAGAGTATCCACTTAATTTATATACTTCTAATCTATATCTTTTTGGAAATTTTTTTCATAACTCCATAAGCTCTGCCATCTTAAATCCTTTTGGAAGCAAAGATTTAATTAAATTGCATTGGCTTAAATGAGAATTTTCCTCCCCAATAGTTTTAAGCCATCCATAAATATTTTAATTGTTGCATAATAGACGTAACATAACTAACTTGACTTACTTCCAATTGTTTTGCTATTGTAAGTTAAGTAGGATAAAAATAGTATGTTCTCTTAATTGTATTATGAACTGCGTGTTGGAAAAGGATATTGGACTTGCCTTTGTTTAATGAAATAGTTTGGTAAATTGCTTAGGAAGAGAGGCAGATGCTAAGGGATGCAGGCTAGAGCCAAAGCAATAAAAAATGGTTGCTAGACTGGAACATGGTCTTCTCCTGGCAAATGATAAGAATACAAGAAAGCTAGTGGAATCTTGGCATGCCTCTAAAGCCTGTTTGGAACTGGCACACTGTCACTTCCACACATATTCCATTGGTCAGAGTAAGTCATGAGGCCAAGCACAGTCAGTGGGGTGGGGAAAATTACTCCCACCTACAGAGAAGCATGACAACAGGGAGGGAAGAAAGAATAGGAAATAAATACAATCTGCTAGTGAAAAGCTCCTAGTGATGGGAGTGACTGACACACTTTAAAGAATAGGTATGCTCAATATTCAATTTGAAGTTATTTGCATTTGTATTTTAACTCTCTCTCCTTTATTTGCCTGTATTTTCCACTGTCTGCTATGTGCACAGTCCATGGGCATAGCATTTGTAAAAATTAAGAAAGAGATCTGAGTGTTAAATCTGGGTAAGCATAGTGCAGAACAGCATCAGGTTCAAGACATGTAGATGATCCCTATGCTGAATGAATCCAGCAGAAGCAGAGAACCAGAACTGACTCTAAGAAGACAAGCCCTCTGGGAATGTGCAGAAATCTTGTGGAGGACATTGACCTTTCCATAATTCATGAAATTGAGATTTTTAAGCAATCCTATTTAGATCTTAAGAAGCAGGATGTCTTCTTGGAATCTAACCGCATACTGATCATACAGGTCAAAGGGTATGAACTTCTGTTTCAGGCTTTTGATAAATAATGTTGAATTGCTTCATGATAAAAAGTTCAAACAGACATTCAGGATTTTTCCACTTTAAACTGTCAGCCATATTAAATACCAAAAAAAGGAAAACATAGAACAAGCTTTGAAAATAAGAAAAAATATACAAGTAGACACAGTTACTGAATTAAAATGCTTGTTAAAAATGACTGTGTTTGCAGTAATTTTATATTTAAATTTGAAACTCCCTGACTCAGTATTAGTTCCTTAAACTTTGGCAGTTAAACTTGACCTTCAGTTCTGGGGAACCCAGGATGGCTGGTCATCCTACTAGGCACGGAAGCGGGCCATCTTTCCCAGACCTGGACTTGGAGAAGGATGAATGTCTACATGTGTCCTCCTTAGAGTCATATATGCCTTAGGTTGAGAAGCAGAACCTGAAACAGAGTCTCTTGTGCAAGTGATTTATCGTGGATGTGCTCTCAGGGGGAGTGAGGGAAGTGGGGAGAAGAAGAAGAATGCTAGAGCAGAAGAAGAACGCTAAGCGAGAATGTGGTGTCAGATGAAGAATGACTCGAGCCTGATCCCATAAGGAGCTCTGGAACAGGAATTACAACAGTTGGTTCTTCCTTGAGGTAAGGGATCAGTCTTCTGTACCTACACACAAGCGAGATGGCATTTATTTCTAGAGCGAGTCTCAAGATTAGAGTGCATGAGAATCACCTGGAAACCGTGTTAAAACAGACTGGTGGACCACCCTCCAAAATTTCTGATTCATAGGTCTGAGGTGGAGGTCAGAGAATTGTATTTATAACAAATTCCCAGGCATTACTGACGCTGCTGGTCCAGGGACCACACTTTGAGAATTACTGTCTAGAGGACAGCTGTGAGGCTTTAGCAACCAATATTCACAACATCTGGGAAAGGAGATCTGAGTGGCATCTACTACAGGTACTAACTTGGCATCTTCCTCATGAAGGCACAAACCAGGGCTAGGGGATTGGCCTACAAACTGAAACCACGTTTTTTAGGTCAGACTACCTAGATTCATGGTACCCTGTTATTTTCCTGTTGACATCCCGCATCTCCAGCCGAAGCATTTTGGAATATTCCAACTCATCTCAGCCTTGCTATTAGACTTCAAGGGAAAGGTCTGGCAGGTACATGAGGCTTTAAAGAAGGAGCAACTGCACCTCATTACCCAAGTATGGTGGAGTCAGTTGCAATGAATGGAAAGAACTCAAAGGGGAGCTTCACAGACTACATTGGAAGTTGAAGTTTGTTTTTAAAATTAAAGGAAGATGGCTTCTGAAGGCAACTTTTAATTTCATAAGCCCCTCCAGAGCACATAACAAACAGGCCCCACCACTGAGGATCACCACCAGGTGAAGAGGAATGTATAGAAGTAGTCATGCGCCCCTGGTTTGGGCTGGAATGTCTTCTTAGAGCAGTAGTCATAGGCTACTTGGTATCCCTGAGCCTCAATGTCCATCTGCACCGAGTCCAGGAGGTCCCTGATGACTGGAGCCGCTTTCCAAGGTCCGAATTTGACTACCAACCTCTTGTCTGCCTCCAGGATGCGCAGAGATTCCGTGCAGTGTGCGGCATCCTCTGCGGTGCGTACCGCACACACCAGCACGCTGGAGCAGCGCGCCGCCACTGCCTCTGCGCGTGCCAGGCGGACCATGAGCTCCAGGTTCTCGCTGTAACCTGGCACCCGCAGCAAGAACTGCTTCCGAGCCACCTGCTCACCAAAGATCTGTGGCGTGTCTTCCAGGAGCTTGACCAACGGCTTGATTTCGTAGAACTGAGCCTCACGGTACACCTCCGGGATGTGTTGCGTGGGCAGCTGCCCGCTGCGCAGGTAATCCAGTATAGGTCCAAAGTAAGTGCCAGGGCGGTCAATGAAGAAGCGGCCTTCGGTATCTGTGAAGGGTTTGGCTGAACTGGAGAACATCTCTGCCAGCTTTGAGCCTGGGAGTTTTCTCAGGGTGCCCACGGTGGTGGTATAGAACTCACCCCCCACGTTCAGCTCCACGACAGGAGATATCTGGGGGCACAAGAGGCAGTGAACCAATAGTGCCACCTCCAGGGAGCTCATGACATTTTCACCCAAAGACTAACCCCATACAGAATTTAGGAGAGCCATGAATAGTTTCAGTTATTGAAAGGCCCGTCTTACTGAGGTGGTTATATTTACGTTGTATAGCTCCAGAGAATGGGCATTTTAAGGAAGAAAAATATTTCAGTTTGATATAAGAATATCTATTAAAGAATTTTAACTTTCTCACTTAGGTCACCGAATATTAGCAGAGGAGGCTGCTGTGGAAGCAAGTCTGAATGACAATACTTCCAAAGTCTGTGGGCTTTGGCAAAGCTTTTTCCCTCTCTTGGCCTCAGTGTCCTCGAATATGAAGTGGGGGATACAGAACTGTTGTGAAGTTGGGAGCTCCCAACGTGGGATGCTCAGATCTAAGATACAATAATAAAAAAAGTTGGAAAGGTTTGGGGCGGGGGGACCTTTTCAATCTTTCTTAAAGGCTAAAGGAATCACACGTGTTAATTCAGGAAGCATTTCTTGAGTACTTACTGTGCGTCCGCATCCCGTGCTTGGAGTTGGGGATAAAAATTCTTATTTCATATAGATTAGAAGTTCAGATTAGCAATTGGCATGACTTTGATTAACAAATGGAATTCGTTTGATAGATGTTTTGTCAAAATATGGGCTCATGGAGATTAAACAACAAGAATATCTTTGGTGGTGAAAAGGTCAGTAATACCAGATACAATGGGTATAAAATTGCCTCATAAACTGTAAAGTGTGGTGCAAATGTAAGTTAGGGTTAGCTGTTCAACAGAAGTTTTAGAGGCTTCTTCTCTATGCCTGACCTTAGCTTGAGCACTATGGATGTGGGTGAAAGCCACCGTGGTACCTGCCTGGAGATGCCCACAGCCCAGTGTAGAAAGGAATGTGGAAACAGACTGACAGGCTGCATTCAAGGACTGGTAAGTGTGCCACAAAAGCCTAGCAAAAATGCCAGAAGGCCGTATAGCAATTATTACATGTGATACACCAGTTGTTATCCTTACAAACCAGCTTCCTGAACAACTTTCGTTATTTAAAATTCACTCATTCATTCAATAAAATATGTATGTGCCTACGTTATGCTAGGTACCTGGGACACAGTGATGAACAAGCAGGACACAGTCCCTCCCTGCACAGTCTAGTAACTGTGCAAAGCCCTTTGCATATATTCTCTAACTCAATTCTCATAGCTCTCCTATGAAGAATGTAAATCCCTATTTTACAAATAAAGAAACTAAGGGTTAAGGAGGTGAAGTAAGTTGCCTAAGATCAACTAGCTATTAAGTGGTGATGTCAGAATTTGAACTCAGGTCTCACTTACCCTGAAACCTGTGCTCTTTGTCATTGTATAAATTAGTTTTCGATTTTCACATACATCTACTCTTCATTCCTTTAGTTACTCATTCATTCAACAAAATGTAGGGAGGACCTATTCCATTCAAGCCTCCTCCTAAACAGAGGAGCATGACACAAGGCGTTCACAGGGGAGTGGGAGACAGATGTATAGGAGCTGAGAAAGAAAACTCAAAGGTAGGAGGTGTCAGCTTTTTGTGGATGTGTGTTGGAGGTTGTCAGGAAAGGTTTCCTAGGGGATGCGATGGCTGCTGCTGCAGAAAAAATCTGTGTGGTGTCAGAGGGAAGGCTGGATTTCCAACCTGAGATCTCTACCACAGGTCATTGCAAGGCCAGGGCCAGGGCCAGGGCTAAGGCCATCTCATTTAGGTGTGACCTCATTCTCAACTTGTGGGCTCTACCTCTGAGATTAAAGTACTGGAATTAAGAGAGCCAAAGATAGCCAAACTGCAGGAGAAGAATTGAGTTACCATGGCAACAGCTCCTACCAGGGGACAGTTCTGCTAGCTGGAGGGGAAAAGGGAAAGCAGAAGATAGGCCAGGGCCAGGGCTCAGGCCATCTCATTTAGGTGTGACCTCATTCTCAACTTGTGGGCTCTACCTCTGAGATTAAAGTACTGGAATTAAGAGAGCCAAAGATAGCCAAACTGCAGGAGAAGAATTGAGTTACCATGGCAACAGCTCCTACCAGGGGACAGTTCTGCTAGCTGGAGGGGAAAAGGGAAAGCAGAAGATGCACTCTGACAGCAGCCAAACAATATAGCCATGAGAAAAATAAGCCTAGAACCTGTGACGCCCTCTTTCTCCCATAAACCTCAAGGCCCTTTGGTAAGGCTCTTTAGTTAACCCTGAGGTCCCTCTGTATAGCTGGTAATTAAATGCAAAGTTGCAGGCATTAACATTGGAATGGATCAGTGAGCTCTCTTCACTCCTGTACCACAGTAAGCTCACAGCTCTTCATGCCCCTACATTTTAGGAGAGGAAAGGTCAGAAAGAAGGGTCACACAGCTAGGAAGCAATAAAGTAAGAGCTGGGACCAAACCCATGTCACTCTAACTCCAGTATAGCATAAGTGCCCTATCCCATTCCTCCCACATCCAGTCCCGCTAATGCCAATAATTAGCTATGTGGCTGGGGCAGCTCACTTCCTTCTCTGGGCCTATGCTTAGTCATCTATGAAACGAGGCAAATGGACAAAGAGCACTCTAAGTCTCTCTAGCTCTGAAAGTCTAATGAATCCAGTCACTTCAAATGCTGTTTCTGAAGCTTATTTCCAGATGCTTCACAAAACAGCTTCCTGCTCTGATATCCTCAGCCCCATTTCTTTGTTTAACAAATAAGACCTCAACCCCGTTCCCAAGCTTCTTAATTCTGTTCCTTTTTCCCTCCGTATGTCCCCAAACTCCCAATCTCTTTGGAAATCCCAGATTTCCTACCTCGCCCATACAGTATGTGTTTCTAGCACATAAAGACTTCTTTTCCTCCCCTCTTCCAGACTACCTGCCCTTCCTTGTGGCACCTCTTCTTCACCTTTTCTACCGGTTACCCTACTGAAGCATTCCTGAATAGGAAAGCTTGTCTTAGGCCCTGTGTGCATTGGCTGGGGACAAGTGGTCGTTAGGAGCCCCTGCTGAGCGCCAAGCCAATGCTGGGCATGAGGGCACAGAGATGAATTAGGCCCAGTTTTAGTCTAAAGGGTTCCTATACATCTGCAAGCCCCCAGCCAAGCATTCATACATTTTCTTAGGTCACCCTTAGTAGAGTCGATGAGGGACATCTCCATTCATATGTCCCACAATCCCCTCAAGATCTCCTTTCACCCCACAACCCTGACCTTTTCCATTGTTTCCTATCTCCGTTGTCTGAGCCAGAAACCCAGGCTATAATCTTGCATTCTGCACCCATCCTCAAACAAACCACCTCCCATGTGCCTGGTCAGTTTCATGACACTCTGCTGCCCTTTAAGTGCCCTCCTCCAACCCAATCTCTACTCTGAAACCAGAATAGTTTTTTGGAAGTGCAAATCTGATCTGTCGACCCTGCCTTAAACACTTCAGTGACTCTATATTCCCTTCCAGACAAACTCTAGACTCCTTAACAAGGTTTATAAGGCCCTTTGTAACCCTGGCAATCAAATGCCAGAACCACTTGCTGCTCCCCCACCCCTCCCATCCAGAGCAGGCTGAGACCCCTTTCCTCCATGACTTCACTCACTTGCCATCCACACTACCTTCACTTAGCCCCCTCATCTTTCAAGTTAATTCCTGCAGGAATCTTTCTAGATGAGTTGTCTCCTTGTAATCCTAGAGGGCTCTGTACTTCCACGGTCATGGTAGTTACCAATCTTGTAATTCCCTTTATCATCTGTGTCCTCTGTTAGACTGTGAGGTTCTTAAGAGAAGACTATCTCTGGTTCACCAGTATGTACTATAGGGCTCAGTACCCAGAGAAGCTCAATAAATGTCTGTTGAATGGAGCTTACCCGCAGCACTGATTCACAGGAGTGCCTGCTATTCTGATAAAGGTCAATCTTGCCCTACCTAGTGTCACGCATCATGATAGCTAGCTCCCAACAATTCACTCGGACATTTATTGAGTACCTAGGCAGTCCTGCCACTGAGCTGGTCACTTTGTCAATAGCCAACAACAATGACATTATTATCACTCAATGGGAAAGAGCCACAGTCTCCCCACTGCTGGATCTTCTTTTCCTTCCTACAAGTCACCTAGCCCAGGAGAGAGTAGAGTGTTCTGCTTCTAGAGTGCACTGGACCTTTTCCTGATCATCCTGAAAACTCCCCTCATCCAAGCCCCGGGAGGCAAGCAAGTTGGCGGATTCTGGACCTGGAGGGCAAGGACAGACTGGAGAGAGTGGGGGGTCTGAGGGGTGAAAGAATGATACACGGGTCTGCTTTAGCTATCATGGGGGCAGGGCTGGGTCTGCTTTAGCTATCATGGGAGCAGGGGAGGCAGAAAGACAGCAGAGCGGTCGACTAGGACAAGCAAAGGGACGGAGAGAGGACACTCAGAGAGTGGCTAAAACAAAGGATAAGAAGAGAAGGAAGAGAAACCAAAGCAGCCAAGCAGGAAAGAGGGCAAAGAAGAGAGTCTGGATTGAGCCAAAATGGGAACGCAGACCGCGGTGCGGAAGGACAGAGATAAAGTCGGGAAGTACAGCCAGGAGTAAAGAGAACCCAGCCAGAGGTGGAGGCGGGAGGGGCGGACGGGAGACACTAGGAGTGAATGGAGGGAGAGGCAGCCGGACAGGCCCGGACACTACCCGCGCCCGCTCGCCCGGGACTGCTCACTCACCGTTGGCGGGCCCGCGGGGGGCGCGGCGGGGCCCGGCCGCAGCGAGCGGGCCGTCGAAGTCAGGCTCATCACCCTGGCCTTGCAGGCATCTGGCACTGCGCAGCCCGGCTGCCGCTCGCGCAACCTGCCCAGCCTGCCACGTGCAGGATACTTGTGGTTGGCGGAAGTGCACCTGCTCCCCGCCCTGGGGTGGGAGAAGCTGGATCCAGGGTGTGGTTAAAACCCGGGATTGGCCTGGACTGGGTCTGGCTTTTCATGAGACCCTAGCCTAGTATCTGCCCCTCTCTCACTGGGGTGTACCCGACAGCTAAATGGGGGAGGCAGAGGGAACTGACATTGAAAGCAGAAGACTTTCTACTCACTACAGTCCTATGGAGTGACGGATCACCAACACCCATTTTACAGATGGGAAACATGAGGCTCCAGG